ATAAAATGAGCTTTTTCACCCTTTTGTCCCTCATTAATTATTTAATAATTATTTTGTCCCATATTGTAAATTATCTACCAATCTTCCCCTTTTTAATTGATTAAACCAAAACTTTAATCGATTAAATGGTCAAATGAAGATTTAATCGATTAAATCTTCAACTTAATCGATTAAATCTTCCTTTTTACCGGAAGAACAACCTTGTGCATGAGAGATTTAGTCGATTAAATAGGGAGATTTAATCGACTAAATCTTCAAGTCAACGATTTTTGTCTATTTTGACTATTTAATCGATTAGATTTTTGGCTTAATCGATTAAAGAGGGGCAAATTAATAAATAATTCTGAATAAGGGACAAAATAGTTATTAAATAATTAATGAGGGGTAAAAGGGTGAAAAAATCCAATAAAATGTATCTGGAAATAGCATTTAAATTGAAAATTCTGAGACCTTAATCATAAGAAGACCGTAGAAGGTTAGCAGTTATATTCTTATAAAAAATAAAAAACTTTAAAGAAAGTTTATGTTTTAGTTATACTAATTTATTAAAAATAGTAAATAATTTAATTCTTTATTTATATTAGTTTATTAAAGATAGTAAATATATTTTTAATTTTTTATTCTATTTTTTAAAGACACTCACAGGAAACGTTTAGCAACGCAATTATTTCTACAAAGTTTATGTACAAGTAGCATTCAAATGTGAAACTGAAAATTCTGAGACATCAGTTATTAGAAGAGAGTAGAAGCAGTCGTTAGGATTGGTCAAGTGACAAAGGGTTGAAGTAATTTATATCAAGTCATGTGTTTAATTTCCATCATTTTTTTTTTTTTTAAAATGGTAGAAATAAAGGTGTAAATAGGCTAGGCTAGGTTATGCTTTAGCTTAAATAGGTTAGGCCTATGTAAAAAAAATTATGTCTGGTCTGTCTTATTAGCCTGTGTAGACCCCAAATTACAAGTCCGGTCTGACTTATATTTAAAAAATAAAAGCCTTGGCCTAAGCCTGTTAGCCTGTTTAAGCCTATTAAATATTCAACTATTAAAAAAATAACTAAAATAATATTATTTTATTATTCAAAATTATTAAAATAATAATTTTACTTATTTTATGTAAAATAAATAATATAATATAGGCCAGCCTACAGCTTATAGACCCGACATGTAGAAAAAACTTATAGCCTGTTTTCGAAACAAGTTTTTTTAAAAGTCTATGTCTGTTATATTTTATTATTTGTAATATGACAAGTCTGGCCTAATATAGGTTAGGCCGTAAGCCCCTGTAGGCCGACCTAACCCATTTACACCTCTAGGTAGAAGATTAATAATTATATTCTTATAAGATAAATCTTTGATGTAAGTTTGTTTTATAGTTTTAATAATTTTATAAGTATAGTTTATTTTTTTATACTTTACTTTAAAGACACGGTTTTTTGACCCTTTTATCCTTCGTTAATTAATTAATAATTATTTTGCTTCTTATTCAAAACTATCTACCAATCTGCCCCTCTTTAATCGATTAACTTGAAGATTTAATCGATTAAATGGTCAAAACTGGCAAAAATGATTGACTTGAAGATTTAGTCGACTAAATTTTCAAGTTAATCAATTAAATCTTCCAACAGTCAACAAAGGTCAAATCTCCTCTATAAAAAAAAGCAGATTCCATGCATATGAAGCAAATCAACAAACATAAATAACCAAACAAACATAGATTGATAGATAGTTTTGGATTAAATGGTTATTAATCAATTAATGAGGGACAAAATGACCAAAAAAGCCATAAAGACACACATTAAAATTCTTAAAGGAAACGTTTAATAATGTAATTATTACTATAAAATTTATCTGCATGTAGCATTTAAACCTGAGACCGAGTGTCTGATTGTGTTTTTTTTTTTTTCTATGAAATTATTTCGTAGAATAATTAATGAAATGGATATTTTTTTGTTTTTTTATTTATTTTGAAAATTAAAAGTCAAAATAAAAATAACTAAAATATGTTCTTTAAATCTAATTCTAAAATTTAAAAATAGATATAACTTTTAGAACTATTTTTACAAAACCAATCTTATCAAACAATTTGTATTATATTTTTATTTTTAAAATTAAAAAATTAGTTTTAAAAACAAAATTCAAACATGCCCTGAATTTATGAGACATTTACTTCAAGAAGACCCTAGAAGATTAACAGTTTTATTCTTATAAAAAAATTTCTCTAAAGCAAGTTTGTATATAATAATTTATCAAAAATTGTAAATAATTTAATATTTTAATTTATTAAAAATAGTAAATAAATTTTTGATGAGTTTAATGTGCGTCTTTCTAAAGGATAATCTTTTACGAGATAAAAATAGGTAGATCATAGGGAGGAAAGAGAAAAAAAAACTCTTTCTCTTCCATGATCTAACTTTTAAAAAAAAATCTTTATTTCTTTTATAATTTATCTATTTCTCTCTATTTAAAAGAACCAATTTTATATTTTTTTTTTGTGGTAAAACCAATTTTATATCTTTTAAAAGAACATATACTTTTTTTCCCCTTTTTGATTCTTTATAATATACTTCAAATACAAACATTAAATTTCTTAAAGTAACGTTTAACAATACTTCAAAAATTATTCGAAAGTAGCATTTGAACATGAAACTGCAAATTCTGAGACATTAACTATCAGAAGACCGCAGAAGATTAGCAGTTATATTCTTCGAAATAAATCTTTAATATAAGTTTGGTTTTTGGTAATAATAATTTAATATAAATAATAAATACAATTTTAATTATCAATACTATTTTTTAAAATCACACATTAAAATTGTTAAAGGAAACGTTTAATAATGTAATTATTAAACGTAAATTTATCTGCAAGTAGCATTTAAACAGACATTACTTGCAAGAAGACCCGAAAGGTTAGCAGTTATATTCTTACAAAAAATAATAAAATATCTTCAAAGTAAATAATTTACTGTTTTTTTGGTAAAAATTATGTTATTAAAATATTAAATATATTTTTCAATTTTTTATTCTATACGTTGAAGACACTCATTAAAATTCTTAAAGGAAACGTTTAACAGTGTAGTTATTATTATATAATTTATTTGAAAGTAGCATTCAAACCTGAAATAAAAAATTGTTATATTAAATACTAGAAGACTGCAGAAAATAGATTAGCAGTTATGAACTTATAAATAAAATTTTTAGAGCATTAAATGCAAATATTTTTTTAATTTTTGTTGCAACTTTAAATAATCAAAATTATCAAACTCATGTTGTAAGAGGATATTAAATATCTCCTTAAGAACTAGTTTCAAAAAAGAAAAGAAAAAAGAGAGGCAGAATCCATGAATGTACTTGAAACTATTATTTTATTTTTTTGATTATGCCATAGGGAAAAAAGTAAAAATAAAGCGAGATTTTAAGTAGGGAAAATTGTATATTCTTTTAAATGACACAACTTATATCCTTTCACTCTTACAAAGAGGTGAGATCCACACCTTTATTTTTTTTTTCTCAACTCTCTCTCGTCCTTTATCTATCTATTTCTCTATTTTAAAATGACATAACTTTACATCCTGTGAAATAACACACACTTTATCCTTTTAAGTAATATAAAAATTCATGGTATGAGTATAATTATCAATAAATATTTTTTTTATTTTAAATGGAAGGGAGATATTTTGTAATGAGTTCAATCAGATATAATCATGAATTCATATCTTAAGAGTAGATTTCCTAACTAATGAGGCAACATTTAAGTATAGACATTTGAGGAAATCATAAATCACTTTTAACCCAATCCTTGAAAAAAAAGAAATAGTTTCATTAATTTTACAAATAAGAAGTATATTCATGGATTCTGCCCTTGTAAAAAAAGTAAAAATAAAGCGAGATTTTAAGTAATATAAAAATCCATGGTAAGAGTATAATTATTTATAAATATTTGTTTATTTTAAATGGAAGGGAGATATTTTGTAATGAGTTCAATAAGATATAATCATGAATTCATATCTTAAGAGTAGATTTCCTAACTACTGAGGCAATATTAAAGTATAGACATTTGAGGAAATCATAAATCACCTTTAACCCCAATCCTTGCGAAGGCTAGATTACAAAATTGCCCATAAGTCATTTTCCTTGTTTTTACCCATTTTTTAAAGGTAAAACTACTTTCACACCTAAATGTCAGGTCGTAGGTCACCTTGTAACTACTATTCATGTATCCTAACATTACATTTTAATTTATAAACTAAAACCGTCTTAATAAAAATATCTCTAAAATGTGCAATTTTTTTTAGTGCGTTAACATGTTGTGTTACTATCTCTATAAAATAAAAGTAAAAACACTTTTTAAGTGTATTGTGATTTATAGTGAAATTTACTATTAATTAAATCATAATATGAGAAAATAATTATCATACAACATGATAAAATAAAATCCCTAACCTTGTCAAATGATGAAGCTAGATTACAAGCATTCTTTTATAAATCCGTAAGTCCGAGAACAAAATGGTTTACTTTTAACATAAGTGAAAGTAAATATATATACAGATGAATTTTTATACTTGTATTTAATCTTACTCTATACTTATTGTGCAGTATGGATATGAAACAACTTAGGTTATTGTTGTTAATCTAGCGCAATATGCATTCAATTATTAAAGCTAATAATTTTTATTAATCATTATGTTAACTAGTTGTTAAGATTTTAACTTCGTTACAAAACATAAATTTTGTTAATTAATTTTCAAACTATGCTGCTCCTATTTTGTTTTCGTATTAATTTTCTATTTTCAGGAACACGATACCAGTGTTCGGTTAATAACAATATTACCCTACCCTATTATAATACATGGGTAATTATTTACCCTATTACCAGTGCACATTCAATATATATTTTTTCTTATTGCACTTGCATGAACCAAACAAGGAAGTTCTCAGACACGTGTGGTTCGTGCAGATGATGTTCTCTTCTGACCATTCCAGTAACAGGAAACACCATGTTCCTTTTTCCAAACAAATGCAAATTAACCCAGTTACCATTGACATGGTAAATCCTCTTCCATCACCGAGGACATAATGGTAACACTAACCTCTCGCCATTGAAGGAAAAGAATATATATAAACACCCCCTTTCACCTTCTCACACCAACCTCATCAGAATTAAACAAAACCCTGAAAGGACATAGCCAGTTACTTCCATTGAACCAAAGCTTTGGCTTTTCTCTCAGATTTTTCCATTGGGTATAAGAAAGTCTCAACCTTTTTTTTTTTTTGTACCGAGGATCTGATAAGTTCTAGAAAAGAGAGAGAAAGATGTGTGGTGGTTCTATTATCTCCGACTACATTCCGGCGGCGGGGGGATTGGCTCGCCCTGTGACCGCCGAAATTCTGTGGCCACATTTGAGGAAACCCAATTTGGGGAAGCATTTCTCGAAGCCACTTTTGTTGGATGATGACTTCGAGGCTAGTTTCAGAGAGTTTAAGGATGACTCTGACATGGACGACGAGGAGGAGGATGATGCTGATGTCCTGGTCGGGGTTAAGGCCTTTGGCTTTGCTCCTTCCAAGCCTTCCAAATTCCTCTCTCGTGGTAACTGTTTCTGATTATCATCCTTTGAGTTTTGTCTATTTCGATAATTTTTTTTTTTCAATTTCTGGTTTGAATTTTCACATGCATTTCTTCCTTTGATACTTTTACACTTCATTTGGTTGTTAGTTGATGAAAGATGATGACTTTTCAATTATTCTGTTTTGTTTCTCTCTTTTTTTTCCCTTAATTTATTTTTGTTAAAAATTAGGAATTGTTTTTTTTTTTTTTTTTTTTTTTTTAAAAAACTTTTTTTTTTTTTTTTTTTTTTTTTTGGTTTTTTTTTTTTTTTTTTTTTTTTTTTTTTTATTTTTTTTTTTTTTTTTTTTTTTTTTGTTTCATTTTTTTTTTTTTTTTTTTTTTTTTTTTTTTTTTTTTTTTTTTTTTTTTTTTAGCATTTTGTGTTGTCTCCAGGTATGATATGATTTACTTTTCTGGTTGATTGAGTAAATGAGGAGAGCAAACCTTTGTAATTTTTTCTCTCATGGTTAGGTGTCTATGCACTGTGCATGAGCTTTGGGGACTACAACAATTCACTTTAGAGTGGTTTGAGTATTAGGATGATTTTGTAGATCCAATTGGAGTCGGTTTCAGTTGCTTGCTTAGTCATCTTAAACAAAATTATTCTTGGTGTTGATTTTGTTAATTCGGTGAAGTATTTTGCCCTTCCAGTTAACAAGTTTGAAGTTTTTTTTTTTTTTTTTAATATAATTTTTTAAGGTGTGGTTAATTTTTCTTTTTGGCCTCTTTTCTCCTGGTTGATTGAAAATGAGGGTAACAATGCTCCTTCACTTGACTGTGGCTGGGTGTTATATGCATAGTTCATGATCATTCACTACATGAGTACAAGAATTCATTTGCATGTGATTTTGGGATAGATTTCGTGTTATTTGAAAATTGTGCTTTGAACTAAAATTTGCCTCCTTGTGGGCACATGCAATCAGGCATTTGGTTGACCTAATATTTATAATCTGTTTCATTAATTGATCATTAATTGTTCCAAATTTAATATTACATTGAATATTGCCAGTTCTTTTTCTTCTGTTTTGATTTTTAGTCCAGTATGTCAATGTTTTCCTGATAATGAGATTGATGGGCTAAATAATGTTACCTGCTTTAGATTGCTCACTAATTAATAATCCACGAATGTGAGACCCCGACCTATTAGGGTAGGGATGAGGAAAAACCTTCTTTGTACAGCCTCGCAATTTTTTTGTCAAAAGATGTTTCCTGGATTCGAATTCATAACCTTTCAGTTACACAAGTGCAGCCATCTCTATTATTCAACTAAATATAATAACATACAACCTTTGTTAAGGTATATCCATATTAGTTCTTTTACTGATGATTGTTGTTGATTTTCCTTCTAGCTCGTGGGGTTGTCTAATAAACCTGAATGGTTTTGGAAGAAATGGGAAAATAATTGCTGGTCTTTGTGTATCCGTGTTTTTTTATATGGTTTTTAAAGTGATACTGCATCTCTATTGTCCTTGCTTTGTTATTTATATTCTTTTCCAATTATGTTGAAGGATTTGCAGCTGCAAAGTCTGCGGAATCAAATGGGCAAGCTGAGCAGTCTGGCAAGAGAAAGAGGAAGAATCAGTATCGGGGAATCCGTCAGCGTCCATGGGGAAAATGGGCAGCTGAGATCCGTGACCCAAGGAAGGGGGTTCGTGTTTGGCTTGGAACTTTCAACACTGCTGAAGAAGCTGCAAGGGCTTATGATGCTGAAGCTAGGAGGATCCGCGGCAACAAAGCCAAGGTGAATTTCCCTGATGAGCCAGCAAGTGGTTCAGCAAAACGTGTTAAGGCAAATCCGGAGAAGCAGCTGTTGAAGGAAAAGCTCAACTCTGTTAAGCCAAAGATGAACCAGATGTTCAATTTTGGTAATGGTCTGGAGGACTACTACTTCTGTATGGATCCAGTGGAACAGAAACCACTGGTTAACCAGGATGCTAACATGGGGCTCTACCCTGGAAATGGACTTGGGGTCTCACCCCTTACTCCATCTGCTGATGTTACTGCTTATCTCAGTTCTGAGCATTCGAGCAATTCATTCGATTATTCTGACCTTGGACGGGGTGATCAGGGTCCTAAGACTCCTGAGATCTCATCCATGCTTTCTGCTCCTTTGGAAGGTGAATCTCAATTTGTGCAGGGTGCTGCTGCTGATCAGATGAAAAACCTGCAGTCTAACTCTCAGGATCTGATATACTTGCAAGATGATTCTGCAAAGACACTATCTGAGGAGCTTGTGGATATCGAATCCCAGCTGAAGTTCTTTGACACCCCTTATCTTGATGGGAGCTGGGATGATGCTTCATTGGCATCCTTCCTTGGTGGAGATGCAACTCAGGATGGTGGAAACCCAATGAACCTTTGGAGCTTTGATGACCTGCCTTCAATGGCAGGTGGAGTTTTCTAAGCAACTCCTTTGTCTCCCCATTTTATGTAAATAAAGCTACAAGGTAGTAATTTTTCATCCTTGCATGTTTCTGAAAGTAGATTATTATCTAACCATTGTGTATTGCTTGTAGGGAATGGTGGTCGTGGTGTTGGTGATGGAGTCAGAACAAGCAACCTGCTTGAGCATGTGTGGAGTTTATTCTCTTGTGGCTAGAACAACACAGGACTATATAGGTTTTTAGGAGTCGTTTTGTTTTGTCGAAAGAGACCTTAGTTTTGGGGAGATTTTTCTGTTTTTATGTTCATAAGGATTATGTTTTATGTGACCTTTGGTACAGTCCCTACCTTGATGGGGAGTTGTTTTTAATGATCTGTGATACAGTTTAATGACTGCTGATATAATTGTTAACTTAGTTGTTTTCATTATGGCAATCTGATTATGACTGAGGCTATTAGTTTTACACCCTTGTTTTGGTGGATGATTTCTTATGGCACAGCAGGCTTTTTGCTTTATTGTTTGGTTATTAATTCTAGCATCATAAGTTAGAGAATTTGAAGGGTTGGAAATTCAAATGAGATGGAGGTTTACTTTGTTAAGAAATGAGTTAGGTTGGAAGACCTACATTCATCATCATTAAGTTTGGGGTTAAAATTTCGTATTAAGTTTATGGGAAAAATGTTTATCTTTTTAAATGACACAACTTATATCATTTAATTTCATAGAGAGGTGAGTTTCACTCACACCTTTATTTTTTTTTTGTCAACTTTCTTTCCTCCGTTATCTATCTATTTCTCTCTCTCTATTTTTTTTTTTTGATAAATATCTCTTTCTCTCTCTTAAAATGATACAATTTTATATTTTTTAAAATGACACACACTTTTCCAGTTTATTGGTGTGTTTTTTTTGTTGGTTGTGTTCTCAGCTTTTAAGTTTTATATAGTATTTGTTCCGTAGACATGAAATGGAATGATTTTACTTTGTTTTATTTTTCATTATTTTAATTAAGGATCTGATGTTTGTTGTTTTAAAGGACATAAATTATGTTATTTTAGGAGAGAGATAGACATAAGAAATAAAAATTATGAGGGAAAAAGTAGTTTTTTTTTCTTAATTTAAATTTTAAATGAAAAATTATTATTTTGTGTCTATTTCTCTCTTAAAATAATATAATTTTATATCATTTAAAAGGATAAATATTTTTCTCTTTAATAATAAAACTAATTTTAGTTTGTTTTATTTTTCATTATTTTAATAAAACTAAAATATATTTATTTTTGATTTTATATGTTTTTAAATGTACCAAACCTATAATATATATAATTCATATATTAAAAGCTATCAAAGCTCCTTGAGTATTCTACTACAAAGGAAATTAAAATTAAACAATCCTTGCTTGCGATACTAGTGAGGAGTGTGAGTAATTTTTATGAGATTGTAGGTTTGGGTTAGTGGTGAGGGACTTAGGTTAGTGGTGAGGGATTTAGTTTAGTAGCGAGAAGTTTGGATAAATTTTATGAGATTATAGTTTTGTGTAATTTTTATGAGATTATAAATTCAAATTTAATGTTATTGTTTTTATGAGATTATAAATTTAAATTTCAGTGTCATCATTTTACTAAAAAAAAATAAAAATCCTTCACTTTGGATAAACTAAAAAAATTGAATTTTGTGAGGATTTGGAAAGGTAATTTATCCACCTCGCACCCCCCTCAATAATCTTTCCTTCCCATGTTTTTTTTCCCCCTTAGTCCTACAAGTACAAGGCTAGATTTTGTGAGCCGCAGTAGTAACATACTTAGAGATCTTAAACTAGATTGCTTTTGTAACTTCAGCTAGTGCATACCAAAAAAAAAAAAAAAGAACAAGATGCTGGTGATGTGCACTAACTAAACTAGATTTAGAAAATTTCAAGGTTGAATTTGTAATTTATGATGCACACACTGACATGGGACACAACACAACATGCTGACACATTAATTGTAAAAAATGATATATTTTGACACGTTGAGACATGTTTTGATATAAAATAATATTTTTAATAATATAATATAATTTATATTTAATACATATAACAGTCCATAATTAGTCATATACCAATCAAATATTCAAATTTCATAACATAAATATAAATAAAAATAATTTTCCGTACCTTGTTAATTTTTCATGTTAAATTTCATATCAGAAAAAATTGATTTATAAATTATTTTTTTTATTTTTAGTTAATAAAATAAAATTAAGACTAAAAAAAAGAAAAACGTGTCGGCTGATGGCGTGTCAGAAAAAGTTAATTACGTGTCAAAAAAACGTAAGACTAAAAAAAAGAAAAACGTGTCGGCTGATGGCGTGTTAGAAAAAGTTAATTACGTGTCAGAAAAATATGTCGAAGAGTTGATTACGTATTTTAAAATATTGACCGCGTGTCGAATATGTGTCAAAATGTGTGAAAGTGTGTCGGTGTGTGACACATATTTAAAAAAAAAAAAAGATGTGTCGAGGTATCTTAGGTTGTAACCTGTAAGGAGCACGTGTGATCAAGTCCAAGTGTCCAAGCATGTCAATGCAAAAAAGTAAAAATAAGTATATAACAAAGAAGAGAAAAAGTAAAAGCTTACACAGCCTAATGGCAAAATCACACATTTTTTTCTCTAAAAAAAATACAATAAATTAGCCATTCTTTATTTATTAATATGGAAATCACCACTGCAGCTTTGTATATAACATTACCGTCATGTAGGAGCCATAGAATTGGACTGGAGGGTGCATGTGATGCGGTCATTAGAAACCAATCAAATTTGGCTGCCACATTGTATACTTCAATGTTAGGTAAAGAATGGAAAGTGTCCCTCCAATATTTAGGTGTACCCGAGTTCCGAAGTTTAGGTGGACTGAGGAAAGTGTGACACATACAACACGATTATATTTGGGGATCGCAAAATCCACAATGCTTTCATTGCTTTGGGAGATGGATCATCATATCTCATATGCATCATTTGAGCTCAAAAATATGAAAATAATTGTTACAAAATAGATACATAAGAATTTATTGTCGCTGTATATTTCTTTACCTCAATGAGGGTTCTTTTTATACAAGAGGTCAGTAAAACTAATTGCTAATTAGTAGGTAACTAATTCTTCTATTCTAATCTCTATAGAATCAATTACTGAATAATAGTCTAACAAACAGCCTAACAAACTACAAACAGTCTAACAATACATAATTTTAAATTCAAATATATTTCAACACTCCCCCTCAAGTTGGTGCAAAGATATCAATCATGCCCAACTTGTCTATTGCTTCTTGAAATATTTTTGCAGGTCCGGCTTTGGTAAGAACATCATCAAGTTGTTTTTCAGACTTAATGAATGGGAAGCGAATTATATCTTCATCAAGCTTTTCCTTTATAAAATGCCTGTCAATTTCAACATGTTTGGTCCTATCGTGTTGAATGGGATTATGTGCAATTTGTATGGCAGCCTTGTTGTCATAGTGAAGGTTCATAGGTTGATCTTGAAACAAACCCAGATCTTGTAGATTTCTTTTTATCCAAAGTAACTCGCATACTCCTTGTGCCATTCCTCTGTATTCAGCTTCTGCACTTGATCTAGCAACCACTTTTTGTTTCTTACTCTTCCAAGTAACCAAATTACCTTACACAAATGTAAAATACCCTGATGTTGATTGTCTAGTCGTCTTATCTCCCGCCCAATCCGAATCACAAAATCCTTCAATGTGAGATGTGCTATTTTTTCTGAACAATAATCCTCTCCCAACCGTTCCTTTTAAATATTTCAGAATGCACAATACTGCATCCATATGATCAACACTTGGGGAATGCATAAACCTACTTACCACACTTACTGCATAAGCAATATCAGGACGAGTGTGAGACAAATAAATAAGTCTTCCCACTAATCTCTGGTATCTCCCAATATCAGTAGCTATTTGATCAGGATATATTCCAAGCCTGTGATTCATTTCCATAGGAGTTTCAGATGGCTTGCAATCTAACATTTCGGTTTCTGTTAATAGATCCAAGATGTACTTTCTTTGAGAAAGAGAAATCCCTTGTTTTGATCTTGAGATCTCAATTCCTAGAAAGTATTTGAGCTCTCCCAGGCTTTTCATTTCAAATTCAGTGCTCAAGAGTTCTTCTAATTTTTTTATTTCTTCTAAATCATCTCCAGTAATCACCATATCATCCACATACACAATTAGAGCAGTGATTTTTCCTCTTTGTCGCTTTATAAATAAGGTATGGTCAGCATTACTTTGATTATACCCGAATTTCTTCATAGCTGATGAAAATCTCCCAAACCATGCTCTTGGAGATTGTTTAAGACCATACAATGCCTTTTTTAATTTGCATACCTTTGTTATGGGGTTGGATTGTGTCTTAACTCCAGGTGGTGCATCCATATACACTTCTTCCTTGAGATCTCCATTTAGAAAGGCGTTCTTCACATCAAATTGTTTGAGTGGCCAATCCCTATTTGCTGCAAGAGAAAGAAGAATTCGGATTGTATTCAGCTTGGCTACAGGTGCAAACGTGTCTTGGTAGTCAATGCCATATTTTTGGTTGAATCCCTTGGCTACTAAGCGTGCCTTAAACCTGTCAATGCTTCCATCAGCTTTTACTTTTACGGTATACACCCATTTGCAACCAATGGTTCTCTTGCCTTCGGGTAGAGGAACAAGCTCCCATGTTAAATTTTTCTGCAAAGCTTCTAACTCAATGTTCATGGCTTCTTTCCACCTGGGGTCTTCAAGTGCTTCCTGTACATTGTTAGGAATGCATACAGTAGATAATTGATTCACTGTTAGAGCATATGAATTAGATAACCTGTGAGTTGATACATAATTGTTAATAGGGTATTTAGCCTTTGCTTGTAAATCTGGTTCATAGACTTTCCTAGGAATTCCTTTGGTTGTTCTTACAGAATGCCGTATAGAAGGAAGAATGAGTGGTTCAAGTTCAGAATTTATCGCAATGGAGTGTGGTTCAGATTCAGAGTTTACCTCAAGATTGGAATCAAGGTGTTGTTCAAGAGTATGATGCTGTTCCGGAACATCTCTTGATGATGAATCAGTGTTTGGAGTTAGATGTGGACTACCTGTTTCTGAATGCATGATACTGTCTATTGCCTCAGAAGTTTTTTCAGCTGTATCAGAGTTAGAATTAAAATCTATAAAGACTTCTCCTCCAATTTGTTCATAAGGTTTCTCCCCCTGAGGAGAAGAATCGAGTACTCCCCCTGAAAAAAAAGGCTTCCATTCATGAAAAGTAACATCCAAAGTGACATGTAGTTTATGGAGAACAGGATCAAAACATCGGTATCCTTTTTGGGAATCTGAATATCCAACAAAGACACATTTAGTAGCACATGGGTCCAACTTGTGACGTAATGGTTTTGGAGTATGGACATAGGCACAACATCCAAAGAT